CCCCAAAACCCCAAAACCCCAAAACCCCTCAAGTCAGCATAATGATTGGTCTGAATAACTATTTAACTTGAATTGAATAATAGAGTATTATATTACCTAGAATAAGATATTAGATTTTTTAACATAAGCATGAAGAAAAGATTTGCAAAGCAAGCTTTAAGTGAGTTAGACATTAAGATACAAGAGTTGAAATAGTAGTGCCAGCATTAATATGAGTTGGCAAAGTCCGAGGATCAGGTGACAGTAATGCTCGATTAGGCTGAATACTTAGATAATGTAGATGATCTGGCTTAATTGCCTGATGATTAACCTGAAAATGTGAAGGACAAAAAGTATATCAGCTTAGCCATACCTGAGTTAAGAATGGTAGATTTCAAGTTGAACAAGAGGGGGCCTTCAGAGGACGAGACTTACGCTCTCGATGTTTTCCTAGTCAAGAATATCAGAAGAGGAAATACAGTGATTGAGTAAATTGAAAGAAACGTTACTGTAAATGTAGATGGTAAAGAAATCGAAGATATTAAAGTTCTAAAGAGATGCATGGGAAGGAAAGGCCTCACTAAGTTCTTTGATCTCTAGATAGATTTCCTTGACCCCAAAACTAGATATTTGGATGCTGGACATTCTCCTCAAACATTTTGCATCAAGAATTAGATTTTATCAGGTGCACTCAAGGCATTTGTAGGAGGACATAATGTAGAAGTTTTTAAGACTCTGAAGGCCAATGGTGAGAATGCCCAGGTATCATATAATACTGAATTCGATGTGTGGGTAGTGGCTTCTAAAAATGTTGGAATAGTTGTCAGAAATAAGGAAGATTTAGCCAAATATCACCCAGAGCACTTCAGATTTTCATATATGATTGGAATGGTCTGGCTTAATAAAATCGAGGATCTTATGGCCTTAGATCCCAATATTGTTACCTAATTGAAGAAAGAAATGGCTGGCAAGACCTTGGTTGCAGAGTTTATTGGTTCTCCAGAGCACTAGCATATGGTGAAGTACAATTAGATCACTCTGATATTTTATGCCATTGTTGATAATAACAGTTCTGATCTCTGCTGGCCAGTCGATTAAGCACTCAATTTCTTTAAGAAATACTAATTAAACATAGTCAAGATCGAGAGTCAAGGACTATTTAACAACTATGACATGCTATGCAATGGGCTTTATAAAGTCTTTAGAGATGTTGCTAAGAGTAAAATTGTTGATGACGAGGAGGGCAGTGTCTTATATCTAGTTAAAAGAGATAAGAGTGGTGATTCAAGCAAAGATAAAGTTCTTAGTTTAGCAAAGTTGAAGACTATTGAGTACAGAGTATTCAGAAAAATTAGAGAAAAACTAAGGGGATACTATAGACATTTAGGCAGTGAAAAATCTAAGAAAGGACCTGAGGGAGTTGTTCATATGTTCCAAAGAGAAATGAATGAATTGATTGAGGGAAATGAGCTTCCTTAGCCAATTTAGTTGTACATAGAGTTGTTAAAGTCATCTTTTGAATTTATAGATGAAAACCCTGAGCCAAGACTTAAACTTCTCAACAATCAATATATCAACTTCCAAGAAGAATTGATTCAATATCATGCCAGTAAAAATCAACTCTCTTCTCTATCTTCAAACCTTTTTGAATCTAATATACTCGATAAATAAGATGAAATTACTTATGAAAAGCCTAAAGAAGTTACTATTGTAGCAGCACCTAATACTAACAATGATTATAATTATTTTGAGCAGACAATTACTCAGCCACAAAAATTTAAGTTTGTTTTATTCTGTCCTTATGGTATATTAAATGATGCTAACTTGAAAACTTTTATCAATGAAAACTTTGAATTTGTGGTGGCGCATAATTTAAACATTGAACAGGTTCAAAATTATTAGTATAATGACAAATCATACCTCATATAAATAAACCATATTGATTTGGAAACTGTTAATTAACTTTCTAACTTTAACTCAAGTGAAGGCTTACATAATGATATCAAGTTTTTGGTATTTGGATATAACTAGATGATGTACTGTAGCTCTTTTATTTAAGGTGTTTATAAAGATTAACCTTAAGGTTATGAAACTGTATTCAAAAATAGAGCGTCTTTAAACAAAATGTATGAGGATTACTTAGTAATAATTAACTAAATTCTAAAATCTCAAAGATTTGAAAATTTCTCAAGCTTAAAGCAAGAAGACCTCCTTACTTACCTTTAAAAATAAGTAAATACTCAGTAATCTCATGGGGATACTTAAACAAGACCTTAAAGCATATAAGAAGAAGAGAAAAAGTCTTATGAAGTAACTAAATAAGTCAGAGATCTCAATAATGTTACTCCAGCAGAAATAGAGTCTTAAATAAATTTACTAAAAAATCTTCAAAGATCAAAGAAAACTGTTATAGTGATCATTCCTTTTGGCATTACAGGAAGTGGAAAGACTACCTTAAGAGAGAATCTGAGCCAAATAGTCCAAGAGAAGCTAAGATGGAATTTCAAGTATGTATCTAGTGATGAGATTAGAAAAGAATGCATGGATAAAGCAATGCAAAATGGCAAAATGACAAGAGATGAGGCATTTGATAGGACCGGAAGAGAAGCTATAAAGTAGTTTGATTACAAGCTTTAAAAAACAATATCAGATATTTCTAAATCAACAAAAACTTTCCACGTGGTATTCGTTGATAAAAATCATCCTAAAAATGGTATTGCTAAGACTGTGGGTCTTATTCACGAAAAAATACCTGATGGAGTTAATCTAAAGAAGTTGTACTTAATACCTCGTATCACCTAACCTTACGCAAGATACCCTCTATCTCTTGGTTTCTTAATGCAATGCTTCTATAGACTTATGAGCAGAGAAAATCATGAGACATTAGACAACTCTGACAAAGTATTAACCACTTAGATTTTACTTATGTTCTTCCATCTCTATATCGATGTTAAATTTAAAAACTAGTTCCTTTAAGAATGTTCTCTTGACGGCTACTTTAATGTTCCAATGACTTATGATGATTAGCAGGTTTATGTTCCAGATATCCTTGGTGTTCATCTCGAAAGAATCCTCAGATAGACAAAGAAAGGCGATAAGCCTCAGGATTTAGACACAATCTAGAAATTCATTAATGATGCAATGCTAGAGCAAGGCAAATTCAACAGCATTTCATTCTCAATCAATGACTAACTTCCTTATATACTAGATAACTTAATGAATGCTACTGAAGCAACTAAAGATGATTCTCAAGTTGAGATAAAAAAGATTGACAGAGAGGAGTCTAAATATAAACAAGGGCACCAAGGAGGAAGTTCTAAGTTTCCTTTGTATATTGGAATAACTTTACAAGAGGATCCTGAGTACTCATAAAAATTAGTTTAGTTATACGATTAAGCCTTCAAAATTCTAGCTGATATAGAGGCAGATTAATCTTACTCTTAAATAAGCAAATTAGCTGAGTAGCTAATTTAAGAATCAAATCACAACATGAAAGGGGAAGATTGGAAACTACCAGCAGATTTTCATGTGACTCTAGCTTACTATAAAGGAATGAATGAAGATAAAAAGAGAGCGATTCAGCATCAATTCAAAGAGGAGGCAAAAGAGGACATAATAGTTGAAGCTGTAGTTTATGTTAAGGATAAGGTGCTGACTGCTCTATGCTTTCCCAAATCTAAATGCGAGAACAAATGCCCTCATATTACTTTATTGCTTAAAAAGCAGAGTGCTAAGTTCTCAAATATTGTATTAGAGAAGACTTGCTTGAAAGCCTAAGTATTTAATGAGATTTATGAAGAGGTTAGAGACGGAGTAAAATAAAATAACTACAAAAAGGCCAATATCAAAACTGGAGATAAAGAATTAGACTAAGTTTATTTTATCAAATTACAAGAGCCGATTGTGTTCAAGGGGGTTTCGAAATCATATTATCACTGAAAAATATTGATGAAATTTAATTAATCTTAATTTCATAAAATATAAAGTTAGATCATTTGACTTGCTCGGGGTTTTGGGGTTTTGGGGTTTTGGGG